TCTAGGTTAGTTGAATGGACTTACATTGTAAGTTTTCGTCACATAATCTCTCTACTAGCGTCAGAAATAAAAGAAAAAAAAAAATTTAAGCTTAAAAGTAAAAAAAAAATTGTATCCATCTGTGTATTCCGAAAATCGCGTGTTAATTTTATTTGACGTACTGTGTTTAATTTTATAGTTTTGTTCAGAGGAAAACTAGGGGAAAGGTATAAGCATGTAAGAGGAGGCGGGAGTTTAATTCATGAAAAGGAACTAATTCGTTTACCCGGAGTTAAAGGAGTAGTTGTTGTGCGGTTTAATATCATGTCACTTTTCAGTGAGCCTGACAGATTCTGACACAGCGATGGTTCCAAGAATAAGCCGTGAATTGCAAGCAACAAGATGGTTTTGTAAAAAAATTAACTTTGTATTGAAAGGATAAAACAGAATAAGATAGATGATATAATACTCTCGAAAGTTCTTGCCTGTGTTTGCCTTTTAGTTTTTTCCGCAAACGGGTTTGCTCTCGCAAAGCTATAGACTTCCTCGCCCATAACCCCTTTTTACGGACTTTCAGTTGCTGTTAAAATTAAAAGGAAACAACAGTTTTTACTCTAGAATTCCAGAGTAAATTTCAAAAAAAACAAACAGTTTAAATTATGTTTTAGACTGTTTCATGGCGTATGCGCTCAAATCAGAAAAATGATACTGATCTGAATCCCCGACGACGTTTCCCTGTTATGAATCCAGTCCGGAGTTAAATTTTACTTCTGTCCCAAATCATTCCTCTCAATACAAAGGGTCTTTGAATTCAAGGTCAAACAACTTCCCGTATCAAAGGCCACTATCTTGTAAGCACGCTGGTATGTTCATTTGTACTACACATGTTGAAAACCGATAGCTATTGTAGTTTCCAACAAAATTGTTACGGGCGAGCAAAAGCAAGCTTAGTTATCGGCAGCACATGTCGTGTTTAATAACGGAAAAGCTGGAAGCTATTCCAAATGGTCAACCGCTACCTGCAGAGCGGGAGTCTGATGACGTTAAACTTTGTACCTGCCAGATATGCACGTGTGCAGGCGAAGGGGAGCATGTGTTCGCCTCGGGGAGATTGGTTGTGTGGAGGAACAAGGAATCAGTATTGGCCAACGTCAAAGAGTCAAGAGTGTGCCAATTTTCAGAAAATCTTTACATCACGAGTGATTCAGTTGTGAGAATCCGAATTGTAACAAAGTCAAGGCACGCCTTGATAGTGATGAAAATAGAAATGTTTTATTCCGGAGTTCACTCAGCCTGATAACGTTGACGATAGCTGTTCAGGATTGCATAAGCGTGGGCGATCACATGATAAGATCGGGTTTCAACAAGTCTATTGTTACACCCTTTCTCTTTTGTCAAAAAATGTATATATATATAATATATAGATGTATTAATAATCACAGGAGTTCAGGCTTCAGGAGTAATCATTGATCGTTTATTGCGACAGTGCTGTTTCGTATGGTCCGAAAATTGTAGGACCACACTCATCAGGCAACTTCAACGATTCGATGAAGTTGCCTGATGAGTGTGGTCCTACAATTTTCGGACCATACGAAACAGCACTGTCGCAATAAACGATCAATGATTACTCCTGAAGCCTGAACTCCTGTGATTATTAATAGTCAATGCTCTTCAATTAAATGAATTGAGCGCTCTACGAAATACGTTCTACCCAGAATACAAGTGATATATAGATGTATGTATACATACTTATACTAGACTTTTCCGATCGATGAAGCTATATTCTATACTCAATTGTTCTTGTTAAAAAAAAAAAAATCAAATGTCTCTTGTTACCTAGCCAAAATACTAATTCAGTTTAGTATAATTGCATTGATGATTATCGAAAATAGAGCGCTATGATTGGCTAGGAGCTTCGCTTCATCCCGCTACAATCACCGCGCGGTGATTATAACATTGAAGGCTAGCAGTTTTCCAAAATGGCAGCCAGATTTGTTGATGTTTCGGACTCGGAAATTGATCAGTAATTTTATTTTCTCGAATAATCATAAATGTAATTATACTAAAACAATTAGTCGCCTCAGGCGACTAATTGTTAAATAGAATATAGCTTGAATAAGCGTGGGCGATCACATGATAAGATCGGGTTTCAACAAGTCTATTGTTCACGAATCAGTGAAGAATGCACTTTATTTTCCTCTGTTGCATAACTGTTCAACACACACAAACGCTAACAATTGGTATTTATTTTGATTCTTGTCTTGTTTTCTTTAATTAAAAAATGGCGTGCTTTTTCCCGGGTTCATTTTTGACTTCCCAGTTAATGTTTGATTTCCGAAATTTGTCCCTTTTCTAAAATGGCACTTTTGATTTCAAATGCTTACTGAATACAGGGCTAATGGGACTGAGGAAGCCAAGAAAAAGAGGTGGAGACGGGAATGCAAAGCACACGGGAGGTTTGGACATCCCTGCCCCCCTCGGGTATTGTCTTTAAAAGATTTTTGTCCTGTTGGGAATGAGAAATCGCTCTTTGTTATCTTGCTCAGTAATCTAAATGGGTGATTCTCAACTAAATGCCACTTGTTCGTTAGAATCTTTCAAAGACTAGGCACTGGTGGGTTACACTAACAAAATTCGTGAATCTGATTTCTTTCTTTTTTTTGAGGTCTTCTGTGGTTAGGGTTTAGGAAATTTTCTCTAAAAAATAGTGATAAAAATAAAACTGAAAAAGAGTATGTTTCAAAACTTGAATTCCAAAAATCCAACAATTGTCTAGTCTGTCCAATATCGTCTCCAGAGCCACTTGACTTCATGTGACCCAGAGAAGAAACGACGGGGACTGGGGACATGAATGGGAGCTGCACCTGGTTTTCAGTTCTGAAGCCCAAATCAATGAGAATGTGTAAGTTATTCGTGTCATCTCCGCTACACATATGAAAAGCATATGTACCTAGATAGTCCGCTTGAGCCTGAATTACATATCAATGAGTTTCCAAGATTTCTTTTGGGGGAAAGCTAAACCAATATATATACAATATGTACATGACGGTTCGAAATCATCAAATCCACCCCAAAATTCACCTGCACACTAAGGGGTAACGAAGTCATAAAAAAGCTATTATACTGACATCAAAAAGCAAATAAGAATGCTAAGCTTAATTAATTTTTGGTCTTTTAGCTACCTTGGTGTATAATACATTAAGTACAATTGTGTACTCCCGAGAAAAAAGCTAAGAAAGTAAGATAGCAGGAGATCCGAATCAGCTTTTACAACACAAGGCAAAAATTCGTCAATACGATGGCCAATTTTGTTGTAACGACTTGCTTGCTTAATGGTCTGCTTATGTTCTTAACAATCATGGGCAACGTTCTCGTGTTGACAGCAATGTTAACAACTCCTTCTCTTCGTTCACCGTCCATGATTTTCTTATGTAGTCTCGCAGCCTCAGATCTTCTTGTCGGGTTCGTCGTACAACCGATCTACATTGAATTCAGACTTAACCCAGGACCGGAATTAGAACACTTAGCCTACATCCTCGTCTCTTTAGCCTGTAGTGTTTCTCTTTGTACGATGACAGCCATCAGCGTGGATCGGTTTATGGCTCTCCATTTTCACTTACGATACCCGGATATGATGACCAATAAACGCGCTGTAAACATATCACTAAGTCTTTGGTTCTTGGCCTGCACAACATCATGTATTAGATTGTATTAGGTTCGTAAACATAAGCTTCAGATTCAAATTCAACAGCAGCCCGCCATGCAAACTGTGATTGTTGATCGTAAACAGAACCTGGCGCGATGGAGAAGAAGTGCTTTAAACACCTCTATATATTACATCTGTATGATTCTGTGTTATTTTCCAATGTTTTCATCACTGTTACTTTTAAGCATTAACCCAAAACTCGAGAGACAGGAGTGGGATTTGAAAATGAATATGGTTTTTATGAACTCGTCCATTAATCCAGTTTTGTATTGTTGGCGTTTACGCGAACTTCGACATGCAGTTTTAAAGATAATCAAACAACTACTATGTAAACAAACTGAAGAAACCGAATTCTCCGAGAAGAAAACCGTATTAATCAGTTCAGTTAGTTCTTCTGCTTTACTGTTGTAACACGAACGATGCTTTGGCTTAAACATCGCGTGACAAAAATCGACGTTACTTCTAACGATGAAATAATTACAAGAATATGAATATAGTTCACATCATGTCACATCCGCCATGTTGGTGTCCCAAACCAGCCCTTTGGGAGTTTAACTCTTTTCTAATGTAAACACTTTTAAGTGCTAGCCACGTGAGTGAAAACGCTCGATGGAATTTTCTGCACTGTCGTTATGATAGATGCTATACAAATGTCGGCACATGTTCCATCCCCTAACACAGGATACGCTCCCGCTCAACAACAACAACAACCACACATTGAATGATAATTACTTCTTGTCATTGTAAGAATATTTCACATCTACTCCATAACTTACTTTTCTAAACATACTTCATTTTATTCTCTTTTACGAATAACACGTGATGGTTAAACGATCTAAGGGTTTCATGCTTGAAAACGTCTTCCACTGTTACTAGATACTGCTGCCTCATTCCGAGGCTCTGTTGCACAGTACATCCTTCCCATTACACCAAGCGCCCCAAGCAAGAGCATGGAGGGACGCAGGAGACTGGAGACATGGCAGGCATTGCTATTAAAGCTTGCCGTGGAAGACGCTAAACAGGAGAGAGTACGAAACACAAGAGATGCAAAAGAGCGCCGGATAGAGAAGGCATGGGGAAGAAAAGAGGGCTTTCTTATTTTTTCGTTACGCGTCCTTTTGTGTTTACACGTGCACAATTCAATTTTTCTCTCTTTCCGTTTCAAGATTCGTGCATTTTTAGCTAAAGAAAATTCAAGGAACTTTTCAGGAGGACAGCCAATATTTGGACTGAACTATAGGCTTTACAGTTTTTGTCCACATCACTATACAGCAATTTTGCCTCTCTGTACGGTTTAAAGTTGAGTTTTCTTTCTTCAAGGAGTGGCTTTTCTTTTGGAAGACTTCTGGTAATGAAATAAAGATGTCGCTTCTATTTTGCCAGCACCAGAGAGGGATTCAGCAAACATCTTTACAACCTAAACAGACAAGTGACAGGAAATGAAGATTAAACGCGACAAAGGAAACGAAATATTAAACGTGGAAGGAAAAGTTGCGGACGCTCGAGAGCAGTTAGCTCGTTGCTTTCCTGTGGTGCTGTTTATTATGCTGTACAAGGTGGTTCTAACTTTTAAGTCTGTGGATGAAGTCCTATGGTGTTAGCATTCAAATGAAAGCTATTCAGCAACACTCTCCAGTGGTGCTGTTTATTGTTCTGAATAAGGTGATTCTTAGATGTCCAGATCTGGCCATTGGACGGTTGCTACCTGAAAAGAAGAATGACGTCATACCTCTAAGTTTGTGATGAGCGGGACACCGGTGTCGATAGACGCTCTCCTTATAAGGTAATTGTCCTTGATGTACTTTGTGTTCTGATTGGGCAGGTTGATGACGAGGTCCACGACTTTGTCCTGGATCAATCTACAACATGAAAACATCGCATGATGAAGAACAGCTGTAAGCGGCCGAAACATCACGATGAATAGCGGAGTTTCTCTCGTGAGACACAAGATAACCGAACTTATGCATAATGACCCGCCGACAACTGCAATAACAGGGAGTTTAGGGACGGACCATTAGAAAGCTTATGAGGGGGGGCGAAGTACAAAAAAAACTATTCGCGCAAAGGAAAATTAAATGAAAAAAATTCGTGCACGCCAATTAACCCTAAAAAATATTCATGCTATGGCCTAAAAAAAATCATACATGGAATTTGATAACGAAAAAAAATTCCTGCGGCTCGAAAATAACCCCCCCCCCATAACTTTTCTAATGGTCCGTCGCTTAAGATACCATGGCGACGGCAGCAGAAAACGCCACTTAAAAAGTGACTTCACGTTCTTTAAACTGCAGCGCGATCATCACAACTCGCTCACTTTGTCTAATGTAGGAAAACTTTCCTGGATTTGAATTCTTAAAAAAAGATATTCAAGTTTAAAGAGAGGAAGAGAAATTCGTCGTCGTATGTTCACGTTGTCGATAAAACGTGAAATTAGGCAATTCATGTCGTAGTCGTGCAGTGACGGCAAAGAAATGTACAAAAAAGCGTGATGCACGTGCGAAGTTGTTGTTTTGCTAACCTAAACCTATTGCTTTTTTGACGTTCTCGTTGCCGTCGCCGTAGTGACATCTTAAACTCCCTAACAACTATTGCTATACGGCTGCTCAGCAAGGATGAAATAAATGGTGTGCTATGATTCGTCTGTTTTAGAGGGCAAGATGGCTAAGGGACTGCGAATGGCTATAACCAAGGGTTCTTTATATAAAGGCTTTTTCCACATATTTTGTTATAAAGAAGTTCCAATGTATCTTGCCCACTCGGGTTTAACCGCTTTTTACCGCAAGAGCATATTTGGATGTTCTTTTAATGACCATGCTTTTTTGATCAAGATAGCTAAAAATTGGCTTTGTCTCTGTCCACAAAATAAATCAATTAAATAATAAAATATAACAAATAAACGGAAAATAATAGATTGACGGAGCAAGCCTGGTTAATGAAGCATATTTAAATTTCTGTCCTAGCAGATGTTCATTTTTAAAAGGCAAATTAATATTATTTCTGTACAATGTACCTTTGTATTATATTGCCCGGGTATAGAAAAGCGGTTATTAAAAAAACACGACCTCTCGTTCCCTTTAGTGGCCACAGCAATAATTGTCAACACTGTTTAGATAAGATTTCTAAGCAATTTCTCATTATATTTCTTTTTATTGCAAAGGGACAAAACAAAGCCAGTTATATTGCTATCAACCAGTGTAATCACGTTGGGTGGAAATAATTTAAAAGGTATTGTCCCTGTTCGATTTTCACAATTCAACTTTCCAGGGAGTTTGATTACACTTGCTATGAAGGAGTGAATCAAAAAGGGAGAAATGCTTTTCGAATGATAAAGAGCACCACAAGTTATTGATATTTGTCTTTCAGTCGCCTCATTTTCGTGTTGTGTTAAATTCTTATCACGGGGAAACCTTAAACTATGAAACTTTACTTGCTACCGCTCGAGTCAAAAATCTGAAAGAGGATGGGTATTTTTATCGTGACGAATTGTCTGCTTAATGTTCTGCTAATGCCCCCATCGATCATTGGGAACGTTTTCGTGCTGGTCGCCATATTAACAACTCCTTCTCTTCGTTCACCTTCCATACTGTTCTTGTGCAGTCTCGCTGTCTCAGATCTTCTTGTTGGCTTGGTGGTACAACCGGTTTACATTGCATATCAACTGAACCCTGAACAAGGATTTAAAGATGCATTCGACGCTTTATCGTCTTTAGGTTGTGGTGTGTCTTTGTGCACAATGACAGCGATAAGCTTAGATCGGTTTTTTGCTCTTCATTATCATCTGCGATACCCGAATCTGATGACAGATAAGCGCGCAATATGCACATCCCTAACTCTTTGGTTCTTGATGTTCTCTGCATCATGTCTTTACGTATGGAACAGAACCTACGCGAGGATAGCCTTTGTCCCTGCAATTGCCATTTGCTTCTTGGTTTCTACTGTTTTGTACATCAGAGTTTATCAGATTGTTCGCAGACATCAGCTTCTAATTCATTTTCAACAGCAGACAGTGCGAAATGTCAGTTCTGATCATAACCTGAACATCGCGCGATGGAAGAGAAGTGTTTTAAACACTTTTATATATTACATCTTTATGATTCTGTGTTATTTTCCAATGTTCACAGGAATGGTTGTTTTAACTATCCACAGCAGACTTCAGGGACAGGAGTGGGAGTTAACAAATACTGTGCTGTTTATGAACTCGTCAATTAATCCAATTTTGTATTGTTGGCGTTTACGCGAACTTCGAACTGCAGTTTTAAAGATAATACGAAAACTACTACGTAGACAAACAGAGGAAAACTAACTCGCCCTCCACCCTCCGAAATGAAAACATTTTCTCCTAAAAAGGTTAACTGTGGCAGCTTCTCTAAGAGTTTAGGGAACTGAGTTCGTAAGTAACGAAGAAAAAAATGATTTTTTGTATTCAAGAGGCATGCACGGTTAAAAGCAGCGACTAAAATCTACCTGGTAGCTGTCGAGTTTACTCCAGCACTGTGAAGTGGCCATTCCACTGGCTGAGCTGGAATATTGTGTTCATTCAGATACTGCGAGGTGGCTTCTGTAGCGTACAGCGTGAATCCCAGTTTATGAAGCTTGTTCGCTGTTGGAAGGAACTTCGGTTGCAAGGATTGCTGTTCAAAACATGAAAATATAAAGCCATTAAATTAATGTATATAAAACTCACGATCATCTAGCCTTGGTATTATGCGTAACAACGATTACAAAGTTGTCTGGCTAAAGAGTGTGTCAAGCCTACGATAACCCGAGCTGCCAACCTTTCCGTTTTTCTGAAACGAGAAGGCGCCAACTAGACGCTTAGATTGACAAAATAAAGTTTAGAGGCATGAATCAAACTTTTCACTTATCCTCGACTTCTTACATAGTGTTTTTCGTTGAATGGATTTCGAGAAAGATAGTCTTGTGTTCAAGTGTCAGCTGTTAGACGAAGGGTCTGTGGAGAGGGAGTAGAACTGGGGCGAGATTCCTACATGTAGGGGGGTCGACTGGGGGGGGGGCTTAGATGACGTGAGAATAAAACAAATCTTGTCTACTCCCTCTTAACCCTCCACAAAAGTCTTTTACGGGTGGGGAAATCAAATTGTACAATGACCCACGTGCCTGATTGAATGAGAGCAGCGCTAGAGTGTCAATCAACGTACCTGAATACCAATCAGAATGCCATTCTTAGGAAGCCGGAAGCCAGTTGACATCAAAGCCTTGAGAAACGCCTGATGAACATTCGCGCCAAAACAAGCAACCTGCAGGGAAACGACGCCAAAATAAGTTGCTTGGAAAAACGATTTTGGCGCGAAAGTTATGGTCAAAGAGCCCAAGTTTGCGGTTACAGTCAATTACTACCTACAGCAATTCTTTTTTGTTCTTACCTCGCCAGTGGAGGCCATTTCACATTTCAACAGCGGATCGGCGTCACGCAGCCGAGGCCATGAAAACATTGGCGCCTGAAAAGAACACCCAACGAGTTAATCAAGGTTGTCCAAGAGTGGGACGAGTGGTTTACGAGTCGGACTTCTGGGTTCGAATCCCTCTCGGACCACTACCTAAATTTGTTTCTCGGTCGTCCCGAGTTCAAATCACGGGCCACCATTTCCACGTGGTCATCTAAGCCACGTCAGGGTATCGCCGTCTGCAGGGTAAAGGCAGTACCTTCATTTCACAGTTATTTCAAGACCCCGAATATTGCTCCGCCCCGGGGATCGAATCCGCGACTTCCCGCTCAGCAGTCAAGCTAGTCCTACCACGGTTGCTGATAAAAAGTTTATACAGAATAACTAGGGGTACCTTCCGGCAAGTGCCAACGAGGCGAATTCGTTTATCTTTTGTGGAATGTGCCTATTCAGATCTTCGCGATATACATATTTTTTTTCATAATTTTAGAGGTTTAAAATGGATTCCGCTATAGAAAAGGATGGCACCCAACTTCAAAACGACAACTTTGGCACACTCTAGGCTTTCACTTTTATTAAACAATAACAACATAGCTTGAAGCTTTGTTGGTAAATATGAGCAAGTTAGTACTTATGTTTCATGGAAAATTCCATTGTATCAAAACTATAAACGTTAGAAAGAAAAATTTAGTTCAAATGAGGCCTTTGACTGCTGAAATTAAAAATAATAATTAAATTCCGAGCAACAGCGTCATCAGGGATAGGAAGAATATTTCGCGTAGTAATATACATAAGAAAAAATTGGTGTAAAGTAAAATGTGTGAAAAGCGCAAGAATGGGGCGGAATGTATCAGAGGTATAAAAATATAAACTTGAATAAAATACAAAGATCTAATGAGGGAGTGTCACAGGATAAAGATTCTCTTGAAAGGCATAATGATAGTCTTCAAAACGAAAGGTCCGCAAGTTCGTTGTATTCCTCACGGTAGTTTTGGGCTTTCTCAATGTAAATCGAGCAGCAAAAAAAACCTGCTGGTTGACAAAATCTAAAGACATGAATAAATTCTAAAAAAGGTCCGCAAATACGTTGCATTCCTCACGGGAGGTGAGTACTGGCTCAATGTAAATCGACCTACGAAGGACACGCTGGTTCTGATATAAGTTTTGAGAATATAACCCTATGCCTTGATTAACTACCGCTTAAAATTCAATTCACAAAGGAAAAGAGAACACGGAAAACCCTGGTTCTGAGTCGAGAAGCGAACACGCTACCTCATTGTAAATGGGGCTGCAAAGAACAAGCTGATTCTGACAAAAATTTGAGCGTAAAACCCTATTCCTTGATCAGCTGCTGTTTTAAACGCAATTTATAAAGCAGACCAAAGCACTAATACCCCTTTCAAACGAGAAATCGTATTAAAGCAGCTCACCTGTTAGGGCCTCTTGAACAGATAACTAACAGCTGCACATTGAATCACCCACTTTCGGACCACGCGTTATAAATACAAGACCATGACGTCACTACCCAAATATGGGATCTTACTTACACCCAAATATGGTCAAAAATGCAAATTTTAGAGGGTTACGCAGAATTTGAGAGGTTTTGCCTACATCGTGCGGGATTATAAATCTGCCACCGAGGCAACCTCGCTTCTTAGCTCGGTTGCCTCGTTGGCAAACAAGAATAGAATGCGCGGACAAACCTTGATGCCCACATATCCAGACGGCTGCAGGGGCGTGTCCAGATGGGGAAGGGCATGTTCTTCCAGGGGATAGTCCACCATGATCTTTGTTGCCCCATCTATGAAGTCCGTACCCACTGTCTTGGATACGAAAGGAAACGAGCGAGATGCACGCAGATTGCATTCGATGACCTGACGGTACAAAAAGAAACAAAACTGTGACTGTTTCATCTCATGAATTAGATTGACTTGCAAGACTTTGTCACCGATAAGAAGATATGTGATGAGTGTCTTGATACTGATAGCAAAGTCAACAAGTTTGATCATTGGTAAAAGAATGTAGTATAACCAAAAAACTGAACTACGCGGCCAGCTTCACCAGATGGCAACGGCGATAAACACGGAAAGATTTCTATTTAGTGACACACGCGAGAGAATATGCAACAGATTCCAGGGGGAGGGAAATTAAAACCGATTCACAGGAACAAAATCCTAAAACAATATCGAACACGAGGTAAATATAATCACCGACCACATAAACGTAATTCGGGGACGTACCATGATATCATTGTTCTTGGCTAAAAACTGAGTATTGAACGGACCAGAAATGTTAAATCTCTCTGCAATGTTTCGGGTGGCTTCTTTGACCTGAAAGTATAATAGTTAAAAATCCCACTAAATCAGCAAAAGGCAATCACTATACCGAAAAAGTCGTACTATCTACGTTGGCTTAGTGTGTCATTAATTTTCATACGCGTTTCAAAGGTCCTTCTTTCATCCGCGTATTCCCTGTCGCAGAACTAATGAATATGGTTAAATTTCATTGGAGGTGCATAAAAAGGCGTGAATGTAATATAGTCGTTCAACCGCTGTCTAACGAAAACGTTGCTCAGTGAAAGGATACAACCAGACACATTGAAATAATCACCCTGCACGGCCTATAAAAGGCTGCAGAACTAACTCGGGACACCGACTGTCAAAGTTTGTTAGCACAGAAAAGGGGACACCTCTTTTGTTACGCCTCTTAGAATTAAAAGCCAGTTGAGCTTTAGATCTACAGCGGTTTCTGGCATGACGTGGACACCCTCAAACTCATAAGCGAGATAGCGCATGTCTGATCGCGCCCATTCGTGAGCTGTTGACATCAACCATACTGTAACTAGTGGCTTGTTGCACGTGGTCAGCCCCTCCCATATTGGTTAACGTAAGGGTTCTGCTCCTCAAGTTCCTTAGCGTAAACGAGGTGGCAGGTGCGTGACCAAGCCTATTAGTGAGCTACTGACATGGAACTATACTGCGATCATTTGCTAGCAGCACGTGGTCAGCCCCACCCGCTTTTGTACCTGCTGGATATCCTCCTCGCTGATTGTTTGTGAATCCTCAATGAACACAAGCATTCTCCACATGTTCAGAAATAGCGTGAGCAACAACCTGGAGGAAACAAGATACCAAAGTCAAAAAACAGAGCTGTAAGAATAGAGATAATCCATTAGAAGACAACTAATAGTTAAGTTAACATGAAGCAGAAAATGGTCAAACATCACAAACCTTTCCGTTCTTAGCGACGGCGTCCATTTCAATTTCTCGGGCACCTTCGATAAACTTTGTCATCACTACCGGGTGGTCCTGTATTGAGATCAACAGTTTATACTATTAGTTCTACTCTGACTTCTAAGCTAACATCTTTTTTGCACTATACATTTTACTGGTATAAATGTATAAACAGGTTTCAAAAGCAGGAAAACAGGAGGCCAAACGAAAAACTACCTGAGACACTCTTCGCAGCCTCTTCCAAGAACTTCTTCAACTCCACTGGTCCGTAAGCAACATTCATGGCTTAAACACTAAACAAAGTACAAAACAGCCCGTGTCAAAGTAAACAAACTTTGCACAAATTTGGGGTCGAGAAAGAGGTTTTGGAAGACTGCTTGGTTAAGAATGTTGGCCACTGACGACAAGCTGTCAACGAGAACCAGAGGCAGATAGCTGGGGCGAAGACTGCCTGTCCTTAAGTCTACAAGAATGCCCATCAGCAAGCCAGGGTAAATATCCAAAACGACCGGTTGAAAATTCGCATGTTAACACTCTAAGCCCCAAAATCCACATACAAATTCTCCTAACTGATCTCCATACATTTCCTTACAGAATGAGTTGAGAGAATTTGTTCAAAGATCAAAGCATTTTCCGTTAGGTGATCATTTCGTTTATTCTCATAACCTTTACTCTCGATAATTGGCTGATATTTTTAGGAGAAAATTGATGTTGGTCACTCTTGGGACTTAAAGGGTTAAGGTGTTCCGTTCACACGGAACCACCTTAACCGTACGAAATTTATACGCTTAGCCGTTCTAAGTGAACAGAGCGAAAATATTGTACAGTCCCGTGTGAACTAAGCGTCCAGTCAAACTTTTTCAGCCGGTCTGACGAAAAGTCGTCCGTTGCCGTCTGAACGTAGGCTCAGGATGGCTGTTAGGGCGCGTTAGAAGATGATACGTGCACAGACAAGTGTCATTTTCTATGACATTAGCGAGTAAAAATCTTTGATTATTCTTTAAATGAGAGAGAAATCGCATCTTGACAGACACATCGATTGTACTCTACATCATATTCATATACATACATTTGCTTTCATTCGCTTTCATCCACATTTATTTAATTCTCGAAGAGGCACCAATTCCACACTAAAACCGGAATTGACTCAAGCATCATTTTACACAATGAAATGTAAGATGTTTATGACTAGAAAAAATCCACTTGCAATGACTGGTTTTTACGTGACTAAGAGTGACATCATAGGTAACGTTCAAAGTTGGCGTCAAAATTTAAAATTCAAAACATTTCTTCAAAACCTGCGTAGCAGTGATGAAAATTTTTGTTCAGCCGTGTGATGCAAACGAAAACTCAGATGAAAACGCAACTGCGATTTCACATGCGCTATGCAGTGATGAAACGCAGGCACAAGCACAGTAAGAAACGCACGCGCATTTGAGTATCTCAAGAAGGAAATTTGCCGATATTGACAGGTGAACAATCTCAACGTACTGAATCAACTATTGTTGACTGTTTTTCGTGCGTCCAACGCATGCAATTAAAGGCAAACGTGCGCGCATCAGAGGTGAAGTATCGAAAAAAAGGAGAGTAACTATTATGTTGACGCGGCGATTGTTTCGACCAAGACGCGAGAACAGGCAGGCACCGACGAAAATTAAGAACTTGCGTTAACTCACTTCACACAAATGAAATGATAGCGAAAGAGCAAACTAAACGCATGCGCAGGTGAAAGGAAATTTTTCCTCTGCATTAATTGCTTCATAAGCAAGTTTGAAAGACGTCATATTTTTGATATAACTGTTACTTAAGATAAGCTTCAAACTCTTTGAAATTTGTAGCAAACAAAGTTCGTCATTCATTCTGAATCCAATCCATTCTATTCCATTCATTCAAGGAAAGCTTTCGGCCCTGAAGACAGTCAGTGAGCTTCAGTGGAATTGAAAACAATAAACGCTTTTGAAAGCATCTTCTGTCAGCAGCTTTGTATTGTTATAAAACAAAATGAAAAAAACCTAAACGACTAATAAGAATGGTACAGTTTTTTTACCAATCACCACATTAGTTGACAGAGTTGATGGAAACTTTCTACTACGTGTTTTGCAGCAAATGGCCAGAATGGAACTTCCTTATAACCCCGTGAGAAGTCAAGCCTCATTTTTCTCGTTCTTTTCCTGTTTCTTAGAACGTGCTTTACTTCTCTCCTTGTCTACGCATTAATCTTTATCTTCCATATATATTTTTTAAAAGTGTTGTATAAATCCAAAGCTCTTTATATAGAGAAAAGCAGCAAGCCCGTTTTGTTATGATGCCTTCTAGGAAAAAATCTAATCAGACTAAGGTCCGTTTCCTGACAGTTTGTTTTGCTGTTCTTTTGATCCCTTTCTTATTTCCGGCTCGATTTATTTTTTGTTTCGTTATACGACCTTGTCTTTAGGGAAAAAGAGCTTAATTTCTCGTTGCCAGTCACCAAAAAGCTTTGGTTCGTTTTTATCCGCTTTTAAAGATATTTTTGTAATCCGGATTACTCAGCCACTTGATAAAACATGCTACTAAAGGAGCTCCACTGTTGTGACCACAAAAATTTTGTGTAAAAGCCGCATGGTCGAATCGACTTTTCTAATCAAATGTGTTCATTTGCCCCCGGAAAGATTTATCAGACATCTTTTGTTGTAGCGAATGAAATAACTCCGAAAAAAAGCCATCTAATTTCCATTTTGTTGTCTCTAATCTAAAGCCCAGTAAGGGCTGTCAGTGGGGGATGTTTTTGGCGAAAAGAAAGCCGAAATACAACGCCTTTGTTTGTCATGAAACAAACAGGGTGCAAAATTCAACGGTTTTAATACAACGACGGTTTGTTAAATCGTGTTTTGCTGACTGTAACGTTTTTAGTAACTTTTGTTGTCCTCTTTTTATTTCATGTAGTAACTTTGACTCGCAGTTTCTTTAATTATCACCCGCGATGCAATGACATAAAACAATTTCATGTTTGTAGCTCAGTTTTTGATCAGTTTTGATGCTCAAGATAACGTGGATCGATAGAAATCTTAATGAATCGCTTTATTAAAGTTTGTTTCTATTTAAAGACACTCAAAAAGCGGAGAAGATAAAATTAAAACCATAATTCTAAAGTGACACCTGTTTCCTGAACGTGTTTTTCAAACTCGTGCTTGCTTTGTCTAGAGAAAAAAAATCGATTAAAAATGGCGAAAAAATGCAACCTTCACAGTCTTCTCAGTCTACAGTATCACTCTTCGCCGACTTTTGACACTTTTGGTAATCCTCAAACGCCATTAAGAGGCAGTCTCCCTAAAAGCGGTCCACTCGATTTCGCGACAAAAAATACTTTTCCTTCATTTTTTGTCGGTGAAGAGGCTTTAGTAGGTATATACTAAAATCGCTATTTTTGTTTTCAAATTATTATTCTTAGCTCTCCTACAAGCCAAAAACGAATTGAGTCCGTCTCGGCTTCTCAGAGAGTGTTTCAAAGACTGGAATTGATGGATTTTGAAAAACGCGTTGCAAACAAACGAATGCCCGCACAAAAAATCTGTTCGATTCAGTTTTTTTAGTTAACCTTCGATAGTTCACAGGCTAAATAAAAATATCTTTGATCAAAACGTGTTCAAGTTACAGTGGTTCAAAGAATACCTATTTTGCAGGCTTAATCCAAACCCTGAAAGTAAGGAAGATTTGAGGAAAATATCTCAAAAGTTGCGGCCTAAATCTGGTTTAAAAATCATATCAAAGTAAAGTTTTAAGCTTATTTTTTTTGGTTTATAGGCTCAGACTTGTGGGTATCTTCTGGGATTGCAACCAACAGTAGATTATAATCTGCCGTTTTTGCGTATTTGCATAATTACTGGCCGTGTCAGATGTCATGATTGTACGGATTAAAAGTTCCATGAAATTGCCTCTTTTGACACTTGAATTCGTCTCCGGCCTCTAAAAGAAAGTAATTAAGCTTTTTAAGTACTTTTGAATCGAAAGAGATATAGCAACAGGGATTATCATGCATGTTACTGATTACCACAATCAACTGGCGGGCGCCGTCGTCTTGTAACTACCTGCACTGAACAGTAAACAATGTTTTTAATAAAATTCTCTACATCAGAAGTTGATCCAAGCTCTCTAAGTAATGAAATTAGATATCACTACCCCGGGATACAAAACATGTACAAGAAAGGCAACGTAGAATTTTAAGTTCTTTCCGCAATTTCAGAGTGAATTTCACCGCGGTGCATAAATTATTGTAATAATCAGGATGTTTAAAAACGTTTGAGGCACAACAAAAACAATTAGTCATTTACCGTTTTATCTGTTCTCGGTAAATAAGACGCTTACCTTTACTTTAGATTCTTGATGGAAGAAGTCTATCCAGCCAGCTGAAGTTATGCAGTTTCGTTAAGTTTCAAAATCAAATCATAGCGTGATTTGTCACGTAATGTTATGGTCACGTGGCTACGTAACCCGTCGGCGGCCAAAATCTTTGTGATAAACGAAATTTCTGTTTCTCTCCAGAAAAAAAATGCCCTAATTCAATGAGTTTTTCCTCCTTAAAGTGCACAAAATGCGTATCACTCTGAGGAATTTGTATCAGTAATGGATCATTTTCTACGGCATGGTACCACTGGCCTTATTAATCCTAGTCCAGGCGTTTTTTTCTCTTAACGCGCGACCCGATGAGGAGGGGCAGGCAACCTCTTCCTTGGAATCACTTTTTTACAGTTCAGTTCGATCGCACAGCCAAATACGCCTTGCAGGCTATGTTAATCTCTTCCTTTAAAACGTTTTCAAAAATCACGTAAGCAGCAGGCCAACGAGGTGTAAGGTTGGCTTTGCATTTTTTGAACCCTCT